TGCACCCTATGTAATTTTATAATTTACTGAACACGAGTACATTTCATTCAATACCCAAAACAAACTTGATAAAACACTCTGTACTAAAGCATTTTTTATAGAAAAAAAAATAATATGTAATTTCTCCTTCGGGGTTGTCATATTTTATTATTACTTCATATGTATTTTTTTTTCTCTCTCTCTCTCTTTTTAATATTTGCATTTAATTCAAGTACATTTTATATGTACTTTTGTTTTTATTATTGTATTTATTATTTAAATTGAAAAAAAAATTTTACTTTATAGTAAAAGTAAAATTTTCAGTTTCATAACATTCTGGTTTTTAACTATAAAAAAAAAAATTATGCGGGTATTCATAATGAATATTATGCAACTCTCTTATAGATTTTAATTTTAATTCAAATTAGATAAAAATGAATTTTATATCAAAAATTCAGTTGAATAAATTTTTTTTTTATTTCTTGTAAGTGTTTTTTTTTGTAACAGATCAGATTCAAAATCGAGCAAAAGTAAAGTAATGAAATAACATTAACACTGTAACAAAAAAATCTTCTATTAGGGGGAAAAATTATGAAGGTTTCTACGTTTTATTAAAATTATTATAAAGTAAAAAACACTTTCAATCAACAATGTATAAAATTCGAATAAATAAAAAAGAATATTGAATAATGCTAAAACCTATTTATTATGCTAACCAATAATTAAATATTGAAAATTTCGAAGATGCGTACAGAATTTTATACCAGAATAATAATTTGAAAATAAGTGAACAACATTACGAAAATTTAATTAAAACTTAAAATGATTTTTAATAAACGATGTTTCAATTCCTTTCATGTATGCCAGCCTATATAAAAGTGCATTAAATTAGTCATTAGTCATAGTCGTTCTGGAAGATGCTTTCATATTTTTATATGAAAAACAAATTTCCAATTCTTAGCTTTTAAATTAATGAAATTAATTAATTGTACATTAAGAAAATAACATTCAATTAAAACTACTTCGAGAATACTTTGGAGCATTATGTTCCCTAAAAAAGAAGTTGGACATTATTCAATTATTTTAAAAATTGAATAATGTCCAACTTTTTTTAATTGAATAATTAAAAAATTATTTAAAATTTGTATAAATTTACACAAACATTTTTTTTCCTAGATAAATTATTCAAAATTTTGTGCATAGTATTACCCCATATCGTTTTATATTTTAATTTTAAATTTAATCTTGTTCAACTTTAATAAACTCCAGTAATTATTATTTTTAATTTCTAAAAAACTATATACAGTATTATTAAATTTTAATTATCTTCTTCTCAACGTTTTGATAAACCATTCAGTATCTGGAATTTTCGTGATTTTATAATATTTTCATCTTATTTAAAATATGCAAAAGCACGTTAGACTCTTAATATAAAATTAGTTTTCCGTTTATTTAAATTATTTTTTTAATAGACATATACTTAAGAACATGTATTGCACTTAAAATTCATTACACTCCAAATATTATTCATTTATAATATACAATATACGAGAAGTATGCCAAATCTAAAATGAAAATTTATTAATTAGTTCCAAAACGACAGATGTACATTTTATTTTTCATGTTTTTACTTAATTTTATCATCTGATTCCATACAGTATTTCAGTAAACCCAACCTATTTAAAATTTTATCAATGAAAAATCAAATATACAATAATTCTAGGTAGACATCACTTCATCAGTCTGCCAGCAATTTGATAATATATTAATTCTATTTTAAATTTTCTATTTCTTCTTTTTATATATATAAAATTTTTATTAATAGAAACTAAATATTTCTTTGGTGACACTGAGGGACATTGTCCTGAATTCATAATATTCATTAGTCCTATTTATTCGATGAATTATTTGTACATAATATAGGGATGTCGAAAAACTTCACTTAAATTTTCACCCCATGAAATCAAATAAGTAAATGCATGTAACGTGCTTTTAGTAATAAAACATTTTTCATTATTAATGAAAGTAGAATGAAAAATACAAAAACTATAGTGTCCCGTATCTCAAAATTATTAATAGAAAAGTTTACATCATTCTAAAACAGAATTAAAAAAATTTGAAATACATAATTAAAGTATTCAAAGGTACCTTACAACTATTACAATATATCACGAAAACGGTTAGTTTGTAAGCGTCATCAAATACACTATTCTATGGGTTCGTATTATAAAAAAAAGAATCGAAAAAGGGGTGACATACAAAAAAAATTTATATGAATACATGCATATATATATTTTTAGCTACACTTACATATACGTGTGGCATCAAGCCAACATTTAAACCAGGATAATAAAAATATATTATATTTATTTATTACTGCACATCCTACAATATTTAAAAAAAAGCGAAATAATAATTGAATACATAAATAAATAAATCTCTTAAAAGTTATTTTTACTCATTCAGTAACCGAAAAATTAAACTAAACCATTTTCGTTTTCAATATGCGCTGACAACAAGAGTGCAATGCACTTTCTTTAAACAGGGTGCAATTTGAAAAAAACTCATAGAATACAAAATAGACTGATAGGATCGACCAGCTGCTTGAACCATCATCAACCCTCACAATTTTCTCTCTTACAACAATAATACAGAATCCAATTGATGATGCTAAAAATAACTTCTAAAATAATTATGTAAACATATTAAATTCAAAAATCTATAAAAATCCTTATTCCTTGCTACAAATTTGAAACGTTATACATGTAAAAAAATTTTAAAATGAAATATAACATCCTTATTAAATGAAATACACATATTATGTTTTGAAACATGGATATATGTTAATATAGAATAAAACCAGCTCATCTATTAAAGTAAATATTTTACAAAGGGAAAATTCTGGTTTACACTTTTGTCTTGAAAATTAAGAAAAATATTTATCTAAAATATTTTCTATAGCAATGGTATGTTGTGCCAAGAAAAATAAAATTTTCAATAATATTTTGCTTCACGTAACTAAAATTTAATAATTAACGCGTACAATATCTTCAAACATAATTAACATAATATTTTAACAATTAATTTTAGTATCATATTATAAAACCTGAGTTATCTATGTTGATTCAAGTTGTTTTTTTAGAAAAGTTAATGCAATCTATGTTTTTTTCCTCAAAAATGTTTAATTGAATCATAGATTATTAAAAATTCTAAGCAAAGAAAATATGCCGCGAATTTCATTTTTCAACAATACAGTTTTAAAATCCAATTTAAATACCAATGTTAAAGTTGTGCTCAGTAATTCAATTATGTATTTAAAGTAATTTAAATACAAAATTTAAGGGCTGATTCATATGAATCTTATATATGTATTTTCATATAATCTTTTAGCGAAAAAGTGCATTTGTTTTAAAAGATTTAACAATATTCCCTACTATAATAACGCATTAACTTTTCATTTTGAAATTTAAATTATTGTATTATTGCTAATACCTATAATTACAGTCAAAAGAATCGGAAAAGGAAAACAAAACAACATAAAAGCCCTGTACGGTAATTTCCGGACTTGCCTTTAAAATTAAATTTTTCTTAGTAGGTCAACTATAAAATTGTGTATTAAATTTTTAAACCATACATTAAAGTAAATTTAAATCTCTTTATTACATTTGCATTACAAAATTTTATTAAACAATACACAAATATTGAACAGAAATCAAATAAACAAAAGCCAGTTATTTTGGAGCCAAGCCCATGTCTTTATAATCATAATATAAAGGAGAGTTTTAAGAACTACATTAAATTATTAACCGTCAAATACTGAAAAAACTGAAGTAAAAAGGATAATGAAACATATTTTTTTAACTAACATCCCATGTTCAATTCTTTGAGTTATTTTTCTTTTTAATCCTATACAATGATTTATTATTTCAAAATATGTAGTCTCATTTACTTTTGAAGTTGTAGGAGGTTGGAATTGTTGAAATAAAGGATTGATTTATTTTGAATAACTAAAATTTTTAGAAATATGTTTGTAATGGGAACAGCATTTGAACTAGTTGTATTTTATATACATAGTTTTCTGTGCGTGTTAAACTGAAAATGCAGTCCGTAAAGTTAAATTAAAATTTAGGGACTTATATTTTATAACTTTACTCAACAAAAGATAAGAAAATAAAGAAACTTATGAAAAGAAGAATCAAAAACATTTAGTTACATTCCAAAGTAATATTTTAAATTTAAATAAAACCGTTGGAAAACTCAAATACCGTGACCAACGCAGTTAGTTGCGTTTCAATCATTTATAAATTTTGTAAGAACCATAACGTACCGTCATTTCCTTTAGTTTTTTTTTTTACTTTCTTAGTTACTGTTTAGATATTTCATTTTTTTATTGGTTTCTTGTTTTAATTACAATAATAACCGTTTAAAAGGGTAACAATATAAATTTTAAGCAAGTAGAATTTTGAAAGAAAAATATTTTTAATAAAGTTCGTAAAAAGTAATATCTCCCCCTATCGAAAGAAAACGAAGAATTAGAGAAATCTAGTGTTTTTTTTCAAGTAAAATATTGGAAAGGAAATTTAATTTTATGCTTGAATGAATCCAATAAAACAAACTGCATATAAGAATACTAAAATATAAGGATAAATCGTAAATCTAAACGAAATAAAATACTTAAATCATTTAATTTCATGTGAATAATTATGAAATTAAAATTTCATGGAAATGACTTTTGATTAATCGAACAATATTTTATGGGAAATAAATTTTCAGAAAACCTGTAACATTAAAAATGTAAAAGGGGCTTTGAAAATTTCATATAAATTTTAATAATTACTTTTTTATAAAGATACAACACATTGCGAACGATCGTTAATGTATCAATTGCAATATTCAATTCAATTCTTATTTTTAAATAAAATGTTTAAAATATGTGCATAGATATAATATGTACATATGTTAATTATGTACATAATTGTGTGTTGTTTAAAGCAACAAAATAATATAGTATTTAAATTTACCTGTTATTTTTGGTTGTCTTTTTCCTAAAGAAGCTAAACAAGATATCGTTGACTGATTGCTCAATTTCATATCTGTTTTTGATTTTATTCTTAAACTTGATCTTAGACAAGGAACTTTAAATATAACATCATCATCTTCTTCAGATAATGTTGATTCCAAACTTGAATTTGCATTTTCACGATCGGCTTTTTCATCTAATAGAGATTCCTCTTCTGATGTTGGCTCTTGTGTTGGCAATTCACGTACATGCGCAGCTCTTGTTAATGTATACATTGCTGGCATAAAATCTGGTAGAGTAACACGTTCCCAAATATATTGTTGGGTTTTTTCACATAAAGGTTGGCCTTTTAAAAAATCAAAACCCCATTTTTTACATGCAATTTCTTGTTGTTTTTGAATTTCAGTTTCGTACAATCTAAAATAAAAGTATGGATATTTGAAACAAAATCAAATTTAAATTAAAAAGTTTTCATTTATAAATACATACACCCATATGCATGTACAATAAAACACAAGTTACTGAAAATTAAAAATATTTTTGTTTATATTTTGTAGCTTGAGTAGGTAGTCCTACCAAGAATATGATTTGAATTTTTCTATTTGAATCTATGTACTTATGTTTCAAATTAAATAGATAGGTGCTTAATACTTACTTTTTTATTTCTACTGGATTAGGGGCACCAAACAAATCTCTTTTAATCCGATCCAATTTCTTATCTGAAAAATCTGTACGATAAGTTGGTGGCGATCGTACTCTATGAAAATCATTAAATACTACAGGATTTAACACTCTAGCACTCATTTTTACAATTATTTTTTGTAAATTCTACTTAAAAATTTTGATTAATAAGATATCACAGAGAAAACTTTGTGTACTTTATAAAAAAAAAATTCAAAGTCGTCCCCAAGTTTATTTTTCTTGTATTTTTATTAATTAATAACAATAATAAATGATTACGTAAGTAGGTAAATAGTGAAGTAAATTATATTAAATTTATTTTGACTTTTCATTATTGAAGTTAAGTTTTTAATGCATAGCCAGTTGTCAAAATAAACCCACACATACACATTTTTACCTTGACTATTTTTATTTTTCACTCAATGTGCTTGTTTGAAAATTTTGCTTTCTTTTTTTGTTCTTTTTTTTTGTGGAGCTTTGTATCCAAGCTTCCAACAAAAAAAATCAAGCGTCAAATAAAAATCTGGGGTTATGTTATATTAATAAATTCAATTTTTTTTTAATTTTTCACTTATTTAAATTAAAATAAAATGAAATTATGACTTTTTTTTCTTTTCGAAAATATTGTTAATATACTATTTAATTCGTTTATGTTTATTGTAAAAACCTTTTTCGGTAGATTAAATTCACAAAAATATTTTGATTTTTTCGCGCTAAAATTTTTTGTCAAATTGCAATTATACGCAAAAAAAATGAGCAATTAAACCTGTTTCGTTGTAATCAAAAACACAAACACTTTCTTCTACACCTTATCGTAATTGTTTTTAATTTCTTATAATATCTTTCAAAAAATTGAAATCCTTATTTTGTTCTTAAAGAATTATTCTTATTGGAATATTTTTTATCTTAAAATTCAAATAATTTTTCAAATAAAATTTCATGCGCACTTTCTCTTATTAAAAACACAACACCATTATTTAAACTAGTCTATCCAATAATCGTTAAAGAACTGAATTCAAAAATAAAAATAAAACTCAAAAAACTCTACAAAAGTTTCACAAAAAAAAAAACAACAAAAAGGGAACAAAATGCGCATGACTGAATTACTTACGTTGTCTCACTTTAACATTCATTTTTTAAAGGCATGCATAAACAAGGAATAGAGCTGTTTTTTCTTACTAACGAAATTGAATTTAAATGAATTTTATTTGAAATTTAAAAGTAGCGTGTGCGTCATAATATTTTTTTACATTAGTGGAAGGAGTTGCATTTATATTTATTATGTGATTAAAAAAGAGAAAAATATATAGTTTATATTAATAAAAATTACACAAGAGTACGCAGTCAGTGGTGGTAAAGTAAGAAATTATGGCAAATGAGCTGTAATGTAATGTCATAATAGCACATAGTACATTTTCTTTAAGTACGTTTTATAAAATATATAATTTATACTAAAAGAGATAATATTTAAAAATTCAAAAAACATTAAAAACAAAAATAATTATTTTAAAAATATTCAAATAAAAAGTAAAAAAAAAAAGAAAATAGTAAAACCATTGTATTTAACAACAAACTACTCTTATGAGGCGGGGGCTAGTGAGTATTAAGATTTTAATTTGAAACATTGGCTCTCAAAAAAAAAGTAATTCTATTTTGTAATAACAATGACATTGTCTTTTACATACGACTATAAACTATATAATTATGCAATCGTGAAACATAATCTAAATTAAAAAAAAAGTCAAACATATTTACGTCAAATTAAAGATAAACCCAAATATACGAGATTAGGTGCTTGGATGAGGAATATAGTAACAAAATATTTCAGAAACCGTTATTACAATCCATAAATTGTGCAATTTTCTTTAGTTTTTTTTTCATAACTAAACTCTCTTGAATAAGCATATTTATAAATACACAATTTTAATTTTATTAAAAACATTAAACATGTTTCAATTGTAATAATACAAGAATGTGAATACATTTTCTTTACATTTGCGTGCAATTAAATTATATTTAAAAATTTTTAGTATTTTTGATGGTAATTCAGTTCGTCTTACAAATAACTCTAAATCATGGCGCTCCAGTCAATTTTTTTGAGTTGGCAATCTATGTTCATATACATCTATGGTAAATACATTACTACAATATTCCGTTAATATTTGTGTAAAAAATCGACTACGTATCCAAAAAAAATCATAACCTAAACTAAAAAAAATAATTTCCTAATTTTAAAGTTCTTTTTCACTGGTTTTCACAAAATTTGATTTACTTGAAAATTTTTAAATTTATTTCGAAATTAAATTGACGATTATACTTTTTTCTATGTACCTAAATTTAAATTTTTTTTCTTCATAAAGTACAAATTATTTTATTTACTATACGTATATGGATGTATAGGGTCCTTACCTGTATAAGGTAATTTATATCTCGCATTTAATGATTAATTATGTTTTCACATTTAACGAATATTAAATTTCATTTAAATTCCCTTTGATATTTCTAAAGGCAATATGCAAATTGCATAAATTTGAAGTTTTGTTTTTTTTTTCCTTACAAAAATGAATAATATGACAAATGATCAGATTTCAAAATATTTAAGTTCATAGACATAAAGGACTTTTATTCGTTAATCTTTTTTATGGAAAAGAAAAAATATAAAAAATTTCGGAAAAGAAAAATGTCAAACAATTTTGTTCGACTCTCTGTTTCATATTCATTAAATTAATATCTATTTTTAAGATTCCCATAATATAAATTTAATATTGTAATAAAAAAAAGTAATTATTCAGTACTCCTATGCTATGGTTACATCGATACACTAACACGATATAATATATTATGTATTTATGTATGTACATGTATCGTGCATCAGTTTTTATACCAACATTTAAAAATTGTTATTTTTTATTAATAATATTGTATATTTAAAATTATTTAAGTAGTTACTTAAACCAACAATTATTAGAACAATTTATTAGAATATTTTTTGCAGTTATTCTCTCAATCTGAATGAATGGGGCCAATTATCGCCTTCATCAAATTATACAAAAGATAGATTTTTGTATACTTTTAAATTGAAAAAGGATATTTAATATTCTTTTTCAATAAATAAGAAAAAGAGTAACATTACAGCTTGCCAATTTATTTAATTTATTTAATTTTTTTAATACAAAACACGAACATAATATAAAAAAATACTTTGAGGACACTTAAATTAATAAATCAAACCTAATCAAAAAGATTACAAGATATTTTTAGTATTTGAACCTAGATAGTACAATTGGGAAGCATGGGTTAAGAACATATTTGCTAAAACAATCATACGCAATGAGTCTAACACAATGGGAATTAAAACTACGAAATAAAAGGTGTTTACTTTTAATAAACCCAAATGCATTCCTGATATCTATATTCAAAAACAATAATCTTGTGATAATTACATACCATTGTTTTTAACAAAGTATATATTTATGACAAATATAAACGGATGATTTTTAAAAGAATATCAAATTCTTATAACAATCCTTTTTTTTGAATTATGCTAATAATAAAATATAAAATAGTTTTATAAATACTTATACTCTTTAATATCAAATCATTATTTTCACATAATATTTTAATTTGAATATAACAAATTGATTATCATTATCTTTACACCTTGATAATATTTAAATTAATCTTTCTATTATTCAAATTTCATTAGGCATCATAAATTTTTCACTAATAATAATATCTATATATATACTTTAAATTGTATTTTATACAGGGGCGCTTAAAAAGGATATTTATTAATCCCCTTTTCTTTTTCTTAGAAGATAAATACTCAATTTTTATTATTTTTAAGGTTTCAAGGAAGAAATTAAGAATTGCAAATACAATAAAATTATGTGCAAATTGTTCTCACCATCAATTTGATAAGTACTTTAATAGTTGGTTAAACATCTTTGAAAAATGATATTTTCTGTCAAAGATCTTTTTTTTTTTAAATTCAAGTAAATAGTATATAATGAACACCATACAAGAAAAAAAAGGACACTCATATCTTATTATATAGTTAAATAAAATTCTCATTACTATTATTCAAAATAAGAAAAGATATTTATTATCCTTGTAACACATTAAATATTTCTTACGCTTATAATGCAAAATCTTTTTCGCATTTTTCATTTCAAATTATAAAAAAAAAAAATAATAATAAGAATTTTTGCATAAAATATTCACCGATCGTAACATTTTGATCTCTCCATTCAACGTCAACCAACCATGATCCTTTACAAAATATTCATATATGGTAAATAGAAAATATAAGTAAAGATATTATTGAATAAATAAATAAAAGGACTTCTAAAATATTTTCGTATACAGAGATTCTTCTTGGTAGAGGATTCCCTATTGCGTACACATACATGTAAATATATAGAGAAACATTGTATTCAGAAATGAGAGAAATTTGATAATTGCACATCTGGTGTGTGGCGTCAAAATTGTAATATTCAAAGATTTTTCATACCTTTTATTTTTCTTTCTTTAACTTTAAGACCTCATTGGGAATTTTGCTAATATAGTACTACTGCTTAAATGAATAAGGTAAGATATCAAAGAATACCGAAGTACTTAAACGGTGAAAACAAAATAAACATTGTATTAGTAAATGAGATGAAGAGACTCAAGGCGTTTTATTAAGGGTGTTGCTTTCATTCACTTCACTTTTATTCTATTATTTTCAAAAAAAAAAAAAATTGCTACTGTTCTCTTTTCGGTTTTTTCTTAAATTTCATTTTTAAGGATTTGTATAAATTTTTGTTGGTATACAAGTTAATTTTTTTTTTGCGGTAGGTACACCAACTTGTTTTATATTGTTGAACAAATTAAGTTTTATGTGTTATACAACTACTCCGTATCTGATATTCTTCTATATAGTACTCAATGTAAAAAGGACCTTGTAATACAAGTTGTGTTTTTTTTTTGCTAATAATATTTGAATTTTTTTAAGGATTTTTTTATTTTAGTTATTCTTTTAAGATGTTTTAACATAAAAGCAAATCCAAGTAAATTATATCGCAAATGACTTTAAAAAAGGTTATAAACAGGTTCAAAATATTGTTAAAAAAAACAATGTATAAAGTTTGCCTAAATATAAAATATTTCAGTTTGTTTGTTTTTTTTCTTATTTAAAGGAAGAGATGAACATGATACTTGTTATAGGTTAAAGTCATGTTCATTCAGTTAATTGGCTTAAATAAATTAATAAGAAAATTTTAAAACCAAGAATCGTATATGAAAGGTGTAAAAAAAACGGATGTACCTGTTCAGTGCTAATCGAGACTAATATAGTGTAGGTTACATTATAAATGTTATAAGTGAAGTAATTGAATACTTTTAATATTATGATGGTTTGCTTATTTTGTTATTTAAAGTCATATGGTGTGTGCAATTTTTGTCGTGAGAATTTCAGTTAGTTTTCTTTTAAAATAAAAGGGGAAATTAGTATAAAAGTTTTAATATAATGATGACTTACAAATGCTGGTAGAAAATTAAATGTAGTAAAAAATTTTAACGAAAAAATTTATCAAGTATCATAAAACATAATAACTGAATCATTGAATTTGAAAATTTCACTTACCGGACACCTGTAAAATCTATTTTAATAACAAGTTTAAATAACTTTAATAATTTTGAAATTATATAATAGTATTCTGTATTTTAAACGCAAACTTTAACAATGCATCACGTTCCGTATTGTATTTAAAAAAATATTACTTGTTAAGCGGTAAGAATTTTATGAAATCCGTTTCCGAAACGCAAGGGAACTGAAATTGTGCTTTGAAAAAGATTTTGAATGCTTTTTGTAAACTTCCGACGATAAGTACATTACCAGTATGAGTTTACTTTAAAAATAAGTGTTAAGTTCAAAAAATCAATTCTGGTGTCCCGAAATGTAAAAGCAAAATGATTTATTGTCTTATATTTTACTTTTGGGTTTCAAAATTTACTTTTTGGCAATATGAAATACTGCCACTTTAAAATTCATAACTCAAATCACTATAAGTAGTAGTATTTATATATAAGTATTAAGAATTCATAACTCAAATGATAATTGTGTTTACGTGTGTAAATATTTTGGAACATCATACATATGCGTATTTTTAATTTACAAAGGGAAAGCTAGAACTGAAATGTCTTTATTTTAATCTAAATTTCAAATTTGTAACAATTTGGCAAATAAAATAATAATATTATAATTATTGCATTTCAATTTAATTTAAGTCTCCCGCAGGTTTATTTTAAAAAAATATGAAATTATAATTAAAATAAATAATTATCCTGTTTCTCATCACATGATTTTAAGAGGAAAACTTATTTCTGATCCTTAATTCATGCCTAATTAAATTTATCTTAGTTGTTTTCATACAACTTAGTCTTTTCATTTAATGTTTATTTCACAATTGAAAAGCTTTTGCCACACCATTGTGAAATAGTATTTAATAAGATTGATAATATCAACGATTCTTTCAGATTATTTTTTTTCCAAAAAAGTTTTAAAAATCTTAATGCACATAAATATCTAAAAATATATGAAAATCTCTCAATAATAATCTATGGATTTGTTTAATTAAAAATTTTCAAATTTTCTTCATCATTTTTAAAAAATTTTTGAATATAGCCAACATTATTCCGAAATTTGAACAATTTTCATACCTGATGTACAAATACGTAAGGATATTTTGTTTCTTCTTCAAATGATTATTTGAAACTCAAAAATTTAATTATTGGAATAGTGTTAGTTAAACCAATAATCCTATAAAAAATAGACCTAAATTTTGAAAATAGATTATAGTTTTATAATTTTTTGTAAACATCTTAAATTCGTATGCATCCGGCTCAATATTAATTCATTAATATACACACAATATACATCATATTTATGCATATATCTAATTCTATTAAGTTCATGATTTCTACAACAATCAAACATGGAATTGATTGAAAAAATCGAATTTTAATTTAAAAAAAAAACTGATCCCTTCATGAGATTTAAATTATCATACATTTTTTATTATTTCATAACAATGGTTATGACCTTCTACGTAAAGAAATATTAAAACTGATACATACATGCATACATAATTATTATATAATATACAAAATCACATGTGGAACTTGCCTGATTAATAATCTTAAAAACAGAATCTATTATTATTTATTGAAATAAAATGCGTAAGGTTTAAAAATTCTATACGTAATAGTAAAGAAACTGCTGTGTTGTTATATTAAATTGTGTACCCATTTAAAATTCTAAAAACAGGTTATTTTATAGTAAAACAAAACTAATCAAATTATGTTTTCTTTTTTATTTCTTTTTCAATTTATGATCCTTATAAGTTATAAAATATATTAAAAATAGCCTAAAAATGTAGCACATTTCCTTTAAATAAAAGTAACTAGTTTAAAAACAACGTCACTCTATTAACATTATTTTTTTAATTATAATTAAATGTAATGCAGTTGCATAATTTTAGGAGAAGAGCGAAAATTAAAAGTAGAATAAATTAAGATAGTTATAGTTAAATGGTAATTCAAAAAACATAATATTCTTTAGCATTTACCGTTATTGATCTGGTTTAATAGAAGTTTATATACAGCTTATATAAATTAAAATAGTTATTTAAAAACATAATTGACAAAAAATCACTTTAAATAAATAAAAAAAAATGTTGAGTATTTAAAGCGAAGATGACGTGAAAGAGGAAAAAATAAGAAAAATTTCAGTTCTATGGCAGATTGAACTATTCGCTAATGCTTCGCAGCAGTTAAATTTCCGTATTTCCATTTCTTCAAATAATACCTTCTAAGACAGTAAAAGTGGATTAAGGCTTATGGTTATCCTGTCCTACGTCAAAAAAAAAAAACAAAATACGCGTGAAAAGAAGCAAATTCTGAGTTTTTAAATTCAAAAATATTTGTATTTTAAATGTTGCCACAATATTGGCAAAAATCGATATTTGTACTTTGTAGTGCGATTGCTTATACAGAGAGTAAAAATTTTGTAAACAAAGACACGGTGGATAAATAAACGGACAAAATTATTTGTATACAAGCATGTTATTTTACAAACGTATCATAGAAATGTGCTAAAAACGAAAGGGTATACAATAAAAATATGACATACAGACGTAAAAAAATTTGTTAGAATTTTTGGATTTTTAAAAAGGATATGAATTTGATGAGCTCTGAGATTTTTTCAAACTCTTATAACATTCAAATCACACAAAACAAAGAAATAAGAACATTTCAGAAGTTTAAATTTTTTTTCTCTAATATATACACGTTTGTATGTATGAGAGAATTGTAGTTTAATCGAAAAGTAGAAAATCTATTTGAGGAATTATGTATGTATAACAAAAAATTCCAATATAATACAAACTCAATTTTTTTTTGTTGGAGAGCACAGCATTTTTAAATGGTAAAAAGTATCCCCAAAAAAAAATTTATTCCCAAAAAAAAAATTTTAAAAAATTTCAATAAAAAACTCATCAATTACTAAAAAAATAAAATGTGTGTGTTCCTAAATTTTAATTAGAATGTATTAAGATCATATCGTACAAGTAAACTTTTATACAGAGAATTTAATTTGATTTTAAATACCAGGCATAAACTATTACGGATAGATAAGTATACATAATATGTGTGTATGCATGTATTTGGTATATTTTTAAGTCGTCTACTAATTGTTTACATATTTGTTTTTTTAAAAGCATTTGCAAACCTTCAGTTGAAAATTTTAGGCAAAAATCAATGCAAATTTAGAATTCAATAAAAAACCTTTAAGAAATTTAAGTACAAATTTTTTTTTTTAAATTTATTTTTCGTTTTGTTTTCGTAATTTCAATGAACGATTTCGAAAACTTTATAAATTATATTAGTACGTTCCTTTCACAGGGCAGGGACACAACACTTCAAACTATTCCGAAGTATTTGAGAACAATTTGTAATTGCACCATGTGGAAATTCAATTCTAAGTATTATAACTCTAAATTAAATCGATTTTGAAAGAAATTGTTAGTCTCACACTCAAAATAAGAAACTGTTATTAACACTCAAAATAAATCGACTTTGAAGAAATTGTTAGTCTCACACTTAACAAAATAAATTAAATAAAAGAAAAATAAAAATAACTTTTTTCTCTTTTTAAAAATTAGCTCGTAAATTAATAAATTATAAATATTAAGAATTACCGAATTCCTATTTTTAGTTGAGTTGTTTAACATAGTTATTACTTGTAACCACAGAATTATTTACAACTATGTGTCAAACTTGTGAATAAAATCAATCTTATACACGAAGTCTTTCGTACACTGGATTATTCTCGATTTCAAAGCTGTAAAATTTTACTTTATCACAAAGTTCATAATAGTGTTAAAGCTATTTTCATATCATCTACAATACCATAATCAAAATTGTTATATTTATATACTTTTATTATTTAATATATTTATTTATTTATATATTTAATAATAGCTTTAATAATTTAATAATTATGACTGTAACAACAATATTATGGTTATTCATTTTAAAACTTTTGAAAAGAGTATATGTACTTTTTTCGAATTTTAAATTACAACAAAATAATTGAGTTAGCCGTTTCTTACATTATATACACTTCAATTAAACCTTATGCTTGACTATGTGTAATATGCCGTAGCTCACAATGGTATTTTGTTATATGAACTACAAACATACTAAATTTTAATAATTAAAATCTCTGAAGATAACTTACATACATTTATACATGAATATAATTGAATTTTTAGAAGAGGTTTTAGTTAATTATTATTATTTGTTATGTTATTATTACTACTCGGAACAAAATAATTAATTGGAAAAACCCAGGCCAATAGTATATTCTTATAAGATCAAGCAGATTTTGCATTAAATCGTACACATACATACATATATGTATATCTATACTTGTAGTATGTTAAGGTGTCTAAATATTTAAACTTCAAAATTAATATGTAAATACATCGCATTTTTAATCAGTATATAGCATTAAGTGGAAAATAATAAATCTTCAATTGTGTTTTAGAGCTAAACAAGTATTTTCATATATAAAATTTTGCGGATTAAATTAAAATATTCATGATATCATTTCTTACTTAAAATTAAGATTATTTCAACTTTTATATTAAGAATGGCAGGTGCTAGTAATAGAACAAAACTATTAATTGAAATATTGATTTTAATTATTTTATTAATAACCAATAACACGACTGCTTTAGAAGAAAGTAAGTAAAATTTTGGAATATAAAATAAACTATAAATTTACTGTGTATGTAAGCAAGAATTACATATGAAAAAAATATAGTATTTTTGACATTAGTGTAGCAATTAAATTAAGAGTTTAGTTGATCTTGTTTTTTCGATTCAGGTGTAGCGTTATGACAATTTATTAAAAACAAGTAAGCAATTATTTAATTGTGAGTTTTCTTGTAAGATATTCGCTGTATGTGTTTTATTTAATATTAAAAATTTGAAATCGCTTAATTTACAATCAAACGGAAAATTTAATTGCTGCGCTAGATTTCTTACAATTTGTATATCGTATTAATTGCACATGCACGTGTACCTATTGATAAGTATACGCGTCATAGGTTTTTTATTAAACTCAAGTAGTATTTTATTTTTGTATTTCATCAGTCATTATTAATGGTTATTCCATAGGAAATTATATTTATCAATTTAATCTCGACAATAATAGAGTAATAGCTTTTAAGAATTCTAAATTATTCCTTTCAAAATTATTTTCCCAATACCGAACCCAATTACTTTGTAAACGAATCAATACCAAATTAGTTAACGATTTACAACAATAGTTAATGCAGAGTTTATCAAAATTTATTTAGAAAAAATAAATTTTAAGATAAAGTTAATAAAATATTTCAGATGTGACAGCGAATGCTCAAGAAACGGTTTCTTCAGAGTCTGTACAAACATCAACAGTAGTTAATAATAAGGAAATAGATGAAGAATTATTTTCATCAACTTCTGTACCAGAAAAGTTAATTTCAACGCCAGCAGTTATTACTAAATTTGAAAATAATTCTCAAAAAGAAGCAGTGCAAAATAGTAAAACAAATACAGCTTCTGATAATTCACAGCTGCTGAATAATGTCTCGGAACAATGAAAAATTCTTGAGAGTACAACCCAGTTACCCATTTCTTCACAGGATAATGAGGTAAAGCCATATAAATATTATGTGTATTTTAATAAATAAATCTTCAAACATTAAACCAAATATTTTTACCAAAAATTCTTCAGGAATATTACAGTGCCACATTTACAGTGAATGAAACAGCTGCTATGGAAGCCTTGGATGCTTTTAAAGCTTTTAATCCAAATAAAAAATTGTCCAGCGGCGCTCGGAAAGCTTTTGTAATAAAAAAATATCTACATTTTTTAAATTTTAATGAAATGTTCCTATATTATTTTATTTAATACCAGACGGTTCAATTGAAATTTGATTTTCCATATTTTGGTGCTCCAATCAAAAATATAACAGTTGCAAATGGCGGGTTTATTTATACGGGTGAATATGTTCATCCATGGTTAGCTGCCTTACAATATATTGCACCATTGATGGCTAATTTTGATCCAAATCTTTCAGAAGACTCTTTTGTAAAATATTTTGATAACGGTAATATTATAGTTATATCATATTTATACGTATATTTTAAAATAAATTTATCTTCTGAACATACGTATAGGTACCGCTTTTCACATATTATGGGAAAATATGTTATTACGAGATAAGCCTGAAGTTGGACCATTTACGTTTAGTACAACATTACATGATAATGGTGACATTGTTTTTGTATATTATAACATACCAGTTAAAATTGATCAAAACCAAGATGGCAAAAGTCCCTTCAAAGTTGGACTCTCTAATGCGTATTTAATTTACAAAAATATGAAACGTAAGAGTAATTAAAAAAAAAAATGTGAGAATTTTCATAGATTAATTGTAGAAGCAACTAAAGGCAAATCTAATTTTGATCATCAAAAATTTGATGTAAATTTTGAAAATGTACAAAATAATTCAATCGTATATCTAAAAGCATTACCAAATTGCTTACAATATACGGATTGCGTATCCTGTGCGAATCATAAAACAACTTTTGATGTAAGTTTTCTTTATCATTGTCAAATTGTCGAAAAACATTAAATTTTTTTTATTAACATTTTCAATATAGTGTGGCTGGTGTCCCGACGTGAATAAATGTGCTGCAGAAGTTGGAAAGAAAAGTCAAGATTGGATCAAAAAAGGTAAAACAGTTTTTAATAAATTGTATTAAATCAATTTAGAAAGAAAATATTTAAGGCTGTGATGAAACAATGATAAAAGATGAAAATTCATGTTCTATTGAGACAAAGTTAAAAAATAGCACTTTACCAGAAACATTACAAAGTAATTCAATGGATACAGCTGGAACTAGTAGCTCAATTTCAGACGAAAAGCAAACGACTACTGTAAGCGCAAAAAGTTCTTTCGAAATTATAACCCAATTTTTTTTGAAATTTTTTCAGAAAAATTTTACATATTACAATTCTATTCATGTAACAAATGAAAAAAGTGCTAAAGAATTCTACGATAGTCTTAAAGTCATCAATCCGAACCAAATATTATCAAACTCATATCGGAAGGCAATAGTAAACAAAAAACACAAATATTTAAATGTTTTCATTATTTAAAATTAAACAATTTTTTTGTATTTCCGTTTTAAAAGGTTGTCGAATTGAGTTTTGTTTTTCCATTTTATGGAAATAAAGTTAAAAATATAACAATCGTAACCGATGGTTTCATCTACACAGGTGATTATATTCATTCATGGCTAGCTGCTACACAATACATTGCACCATTATTAGCAAATTTTGGCACAAATTTATCAGAAAGCTCTTTCGTTAAATATTTTGACAATGGTATAGTAAATGTATTATCACTATTTTAAAGTTATTAAATATTTTCAAAAATATAGGCACATCCATTAGTGTTTTATGGGAAAATGTTATATTAAAAAATGAGTTTGAAGTTGGACCTTTTACGTTTGGTGCAACATTACATGATAATGGGGACATTATTTTTACATATTATAAAATTCCAATTAAAATCGAAGACATTCAAAGTGATGAACATAATGTTAAAGTTGGACTTTCCGATGCATATATTTATGATAGTAATATACTAGGTATAAAGTTGAATTTAAAATATAAAATATAAAAGCCTCCACGCATAAAACCATATTTCTTCACTTATTGTAGGAACGTTTAAACGTAAAACAATTTACGAATATCATAAAGTTAAGTTGGATATAAACGAAATACAAAATAATTCTATTATATACTTAGAAGCATTGCCAACATGCTTACAATATTTTGATTGCGAGTCGTGTACAAATCATCGTACAAGCTTTGATGTAAGTTACAAGATTGGATTTTCAATTAGAATTACTTTTAATAGATTTTTAATTCGAGTAAATATTACGAATCATATACATACATCTTATAATGTTTTAGTGCCGTTGGTGTCCAACTTTAAATAGATGTTCCTCCGGCACAGATAGGAAGCGTCAAGAATGGATGAACAATGGTAATTTAATATAAGTTTATCAAAATCATTTTAACAAAATTATTAATAGACAAAAATTTTTAATAAAAGGTTGTCATGAAGCGGCGATAAAAGATGAAAATTTATGTGCTGTTAAAAATACTCAAAACTCTGAGGATCCTTTAGCAGAGATAGACGTTATAGTTCTAAATATTTTATCACAAACTGTTGAACTTATTTTTTAAAATAAATTATTAATATATAGTTAATGTATATTCTAACGATTGTTATAATATATTGATATCAACAACGGATTTGTTTAAATAAATTTAATATAATTAACTGTGTATATGTTTACATATACGATGTATGTATATGGGTATGAAATATCCCATATACATACATATATGTATTTCAGGTTTATGTGAACTTTAAATGAGTTTTGGGAAGTTTTAAGCAAGAAATAATGCAAGAATCGGAATTGGAGGTTGTAGGAAACGAATTTTTTCCAAATTTTTATTAACACTTTGAAAATTGAATTGAAAAAATTTTCATATTTTGCAAGTCATTGATTCATTGGCTTTAAATTTCATTCCTTACTTGAAAAACAGTAGCCGTTGACAATTTTCATTTATGTCGCTATTGTCATAACAGAATATACATATCTACATTCATATGTACGTATACATATTAAGGATTTTCCGATTGTATGTACCTTGAATAACTGCATCTATTCACTAACGATATTAACAATAAAATAAAATACACTTTTAAAACTTCTATATTTCTCTACTCCATGTAGAGGTTTCTTATGTTTTTGTTTTAATATAATCCTCCAACTTTAGCTAACCCTTTGAGGTCTTTGAGTACAGAAGTCATTTCTTATCTCAAAAGTTTTACTTATCTCCGCAAAATGTTGTTGAAAACACCTACAAAAATTACTCTCTTAAGGTCGTAGGTATTTTTTTGCAATAAAAATTAAATCTACTTCAAGCCAACTCTCCTACCCTGTTTCATTTTTATTTTGTTATGTATCAAATAATATAGCCTTTAAACAATCTAGAAAACGAAATCATTGAATCATTACGTTTTTTTTTAAATTCATTATTTCTTTCTGCTCTTTACTTTTTGAATAATTCCAAAACAAAAATAAACAAAAGAGGAAAATAAAAGTCGCGTCACAGGGATGCTGGAAAGATAAAAACCGGTTATTATCTACTTTATATATTTTTTCCTCAATTTTTGTATTGTTTTTTATAATTATTAGGTTTTTCATATGTAAGTATATTTGTACATACAGTCATCCCAAAAATTATTTGGCACTATGTTCCGTTCTGTTATACAAAATTAGAATGTCTTAACTTATCTCCAGCAAGTACAGCTACTGCACCATTTTTTTTTGCATAAAATAAACACTTTGCACAAAAAATTTTTGAGATTATGCTTTTGCTTAAAGTTTGATTATTTTGCTTTTTTAGTCATAATTCTCATTTTGCTATTAATATAATAAAATATTTTGAGTTTTATTGATTTTTCATTTTTACAAAAACCAGCTGACTATTAAAAGTAATAAACATATAAGAATATGTTATTAAAAGTAATATACATATAAGTATATGCCTATGCACACATAATTTTTGGAATGACTGTATCTAGATACTAAAATTATGTATAATTAACGAATGCATCCCATTATTCCTATTGTTCGTGAATAGCAGTCTTTATATTCTTCCTTTTTTTACTCTTATCATTTTACTCGTATTTCTTTTGTTTGTTTTCATTACTCTCACTCTATAGTCTGACATAATACACTTTAATCATCATCATCACATAGCTCCATACGTAAATATACTCGAAGGGATCATATAAACATGATAAAGACACCAAGTGAAGCTAAAAAACAAATAATTATATGTGTGCTCAGGTGGTACCAGTTTGGTGCTTTACTTTTGTATTTAAATAACAATATATTTTTATAGAAGCTAAAAAAAATATGTACATATTTATATATGATGCCAAATTCGTAAAACATGCAGTAGACACATGAGACGCATATGTAAGTAGGTTTTAGTAGATAGAAAAATGCTTCAATTGAGTACATATAAGTTGATGTTAATATGTTATGAAACTGTTATAATCTACGGCCGATTTGACTAGGGTCTGTATATAAGGAGTAACAAAACTATACCTACATATATCTACGTATGAGTTAAAAAAAAAACTTTATTTTTAAATATACATACATGTATGTTTGCGTAAAACCCGTTGAAAAATAGTTAAAAGCAGTTTTGGGAACGTAAAGATTAAAATTAAACAGACCTTAATTTTTCTAAGAATTCATTTGTATTTCTTCGTTTTAGTAGTCGATTTTCAAAAAAGTTGGGGATACAAAGTTGTAAAACTCTCCAAAAATCGTTTTTCAAGTCTAGTTAATATAACACGAATTCAAAATAAATTAAAAATTTTATATCTGGCAGTAGGTACTTGTTAAAATAAAGCACTAAATTTAGGCGAATTTCAATTGGTATTTTAATACAAAAACCTTAAAGTGGTAACAGTTGATAAATTTAATGTTATCAACTGTTGTAATTAAATGTTAACAACTATAATATGTAAATTTAGTAAATGTAAATTTATATATATAGGAAAGAAATAGAGCTACTAAAGCTAGAGCTGTAATGAAATAATTATTATAATCTACAGCAGTTACGCGTTGAGGTTTCCATAAAAATTTAAGGCACGCGGTAATAGTAAAGCGGTAATAGTAAATTATATTTTGTCTTTAATAACTGTAATAATAGTGAATAAGTAAAATAAAATTATTAAACATTGGTGAAAGGTGATAAACGTGGGGGCTTATTCCCAATATTTTACTTAACAATTTATTCAGTATGTTTTTCATATACGCTTTGTGGAAAAAGCATTATCAAATGCTAAAAATGTAATTTTCAAAATTAGAAAACGGGAAATAATCATTGATTTGACCCATAAGAAAAATATGGAATGAAACTGTATAAAGTTTTAGAAACACTGATAATAGTAATATGTATATGAAAAAAGTACAATTTCCATAAAAATTTTAAAGTACTCGTACAATTCTCGAATTAGAAATTTCTATTATTATTTTATTGCACTTTAATTCAAATATTGTTTTAAAACCACTTCAAAATTATGTTTTTTAAACTAAAGATTCATGAAATTTAATAATTTGTTTAGTTTTGTTCTTCTTTTTTAAATATGTATAGGCATAAAAAAAAGGTTCTAAACAATTTTACATTGTCAATGCCGTACTACATTATACACAAATATGTATGTATGTATATATACATTTAGATTCTTTAAAGTTAAATAAGACTGTACCTTAATCTCATAATAAAAAAAAACGTTCACTCATCTCTTTTTTATCCCTTCTTACTCGTATTTTATGAGTTCATTATAATGATGATGATCATGACGTTTAAAAATAAAATGGTACACAAAATACAGCAAAAAAAAAAAAATTATTTGGTTAAAATTTTAAGAATAAAAAACGAATCTTTTAAATGTTTTGATTATTTGAGATGTTTTCTGGTATGTAGCCCTTAAATGAAAGAGGGTTTCTACTCAATACACAACTCTTATAAATAAATATCAGCTACATACATTCGAATTAACATAAATTTTGAAAAGAAAAAAAAAAAGCGAAAGGATTCATCATTTTTTGTTTCTTTTTTTTTTTTTTAATTTTTTTTTGTTGTTGTGCTCTTGTATTCAAATGTGTTGACGCATTTTATGATTCCCTTGTGGAGACATAAATTTTATTATCCTTGATAAAAAAAGGGCATTTATCAAAAAAACGAACAACAAAAAAAAAAAACAATAACAAAAACGAGTACCAAAAAAAAATCGAAAAATATTCAAATTGATTTTTTTTTTCCTTGTATTTGATTATCAATACAATACGAGTCTTTATCTTCAATATGAAGGTTTTATTCGGCCCGTAAAAAAATATCTAGGTTAAGTGAAGTGTCACGACTATTTTTTTTTTTTTTTGTTGATTGGGAAAAAAATTTTTTGTAGGGTGATTCACCAGTCTCGTATAAAAATATGTAAGTTGTTATCCTTTACATTTAAACAGAAAAAAATTAAGAAAAAAAAATCAAAATTATAATTTGAAATTGTTGCTTTTTCTAATACAACACATAAAATTTTTTGATATAAAAAATGTAAAAATAGTGTTAGCACATTCGAAAATAGCTTCGACTTATTTAGAGAACAGCACAATAACACAGCATGAGTAAAATATTAAGGTCTCTGATTTAATTTCAATTTGTGTATAAGAAGCAACTTTTTCTAATCTATTTTTTTATCGAAATTTATTAAAAATTATCAAAATGTGCAATTATTTCATGAAAGAAAATCGAAGTACCGTAGAAATTTGTTTAAAATATTAATAAATTCTAAAAATTCGAGTCATTTACAACATTTTTTATTTTATTCACTTTTCAATGATTTATGATTTACAAATAAATGAATTGAAAGAGTTCTTAAATTTTCTCAGTTTTATTATTTTTAGTTTCGATAATTTCTATTTTCCAAAAACGTTAAATTTGTATTAAACAATCATTGAATGAGATTAACAAATTGAAATTTTTAATATATACAATTAATAAATTTTGACTTTTATGCGGCTTAGTAGTTATGTAATTGACTCTTTGTCTTGATCTGTAAATTTTTGGGTCTACAATTCGAATTATTATCGAATACCTTAATAATTAATTAAAATTTCATTATTTCTGCTATGTAGAAAACTATGTAGTTTTTTATTTTAAGGAAGTGCTTTCACCATTGATCTATATAATAAAAACTTAAAATATAATATTTTCTTTAAGATTGCTTTATGATTTTCCGCAATCAAATCTTTTCCGCCAAAAAATCAGATAAAGGTATAACTTTTAATGCTTCTAGCATCGTGAAAATTATTTTCGAAGCTCGACACATTAAACTATTAAAAAATTAAATTTTTTAAATTTACATCAACCAGTAGCTCTTTTATATGGTGCACCAAGTATAAATTCAGCTATAATTTTTTCATACGCAAATAGAGTTTACACATACGATTGAACATACTTGAATGAAACTTATGCGTACACATTGTAATTTTTTTGAAATAAATTTAATTTGATATGTATGTGAAAATTTCTAATACATTTTTTTTGTAAATTAATTTTTTAAAAAACTAGAACAAATATAGAATAACAAAAAAACGCGTGAGTCAAGAGTTATGGGTTGCTAATAAATCAAATTTGAGGAAACTTACAAAAAAAAGAAGACA